TATATAAATTACATTTCAAAATTAAAATATTAATGTTTAATAATATATATATTTAAATATAGAATATATAAATATATATTTATAGATATACTAGAGGCCCAGTGCACGAATTCGTGTATGGGTGGGGTTCCTCGTCCTGGCTGGCGAACAGGGCTGATCAGCGCTGGACGGCCAGGTGAAGGGACTGCGGGATGGCCAGGGGGAGGGACCGTGGGAGGTTGGCTGTGGCATCCCACTGACCACCAGGTTCACCCCTGGTAGTGCACATCATAGCGACTGGTCAACGGGTTGTTTGGTCAACCAGTCTTAATGGTCACTTAGGCTTTTATATATATAGACGTTTGTTTGGTTTTTTAATCCTCATTCATTGATTTTTCAGAGAGAAGGGAAGGAGGAGAGAGAGAGAGAGAAACATCTATCAGTTGCCTCCAACACATGCCTTAACCAGGGCCAGGGACCAGAGCTGGGGATCAAACCTAAAACCCTAACATGTACCCTTTTTAAAAAGTATATTTTTATTGATTTCAGAGAGGAAGAGAGAGGGAAGGAGAGATAGGAACTTGAATGATAAGAGAGAATCATTGATGGGCTGCCTCCTGCACATCCCCCAGTGAGGATGGAGCCCACAACCCGGGCATGTGCCCTGACCAGGAATTGAACCATGACCTCCAGGTTCATAGGTCAATGCTCAAGCACTGAGCCACACCAGCTGCACTATTTTTTTAAATTAGAATGTCTTGGGTCTTTTAGGTAGACAATTCCGGCACCTGCTAGCTCTCCTTTTAAAATATTTACACTGTGTAAATGCACCAGAGCTTTTTTAAAAATATATATTTTATTGATTTTTTACAGAGAGGAAGGGAGAGGGATAGAGAGTTAGAAACATGGATGAGAGAGAAACATCAATTCAGGTGCCTCCTGCACACTCCTTACTGGGGATGTGCCCTTGACCAGAATCGAACCTGGGACCCTTCAGTCCGCAGGCCAATGCTCTCTCCACTGAGCCAAACCAGCTAGGGCCACCAGAGCTTTTTTTATCCACTCATCTACTGATGGGCACTTAGGCTGTTTCCAGATCATAGCTATCTATATATATAAAAGGCTAGGTGACCATCTGACCAGTAGCTATGATGCACAATGACCACCAGGGGGCAGATGATTCAACCAGTAGCTATGATGCGCACTGACCACCAGGGGGCAGAGGCTCAATGCAGGAGCTGCCCAGCTTTGGTGACTTCGCAGTGGCAGTTCTTCGGTGACGCACCCCGGAACCAGAGAGGAAGGAGCCCGATTCTGAGGTATGTCACCCAAGAACCGCCCTCGTGCAATCTGGGACCCCTCAGGGGATGTCAGAGAGCCGGTTTTGGTGGATCCCCGCAGGCCAGGCCGAGGGACCCCACCTGCTGGAGGGATCCTGTGCACTCTGCAGACACCCTTCAAGCCCTGTACTGCCCCAGGTGCAGCCAGCCGCTGGCAGCGGGCCAGGAAGGGACAGCAGGAGGTTGGCTCCAGGGCATGTCTAGCCCGTCTTGCCCTGTCCCGCCCCACTGGCCACCTCCTAATTAATTTCCTTTCAATGTGCACGAATCCGTGCACCAGGGCACTAGTTATAAATAACGGTGAAGGCCTGGGATGGGGCTGGAGCTGGATGGAAATGGGCAAATGGGGACATCTGTAATACTGTCAACAACAAACAATTAATACAAATATTTACACTGATTATTCAAGTCCTTGTCATTTTGCTTTTAAAAATGATACCTGCAGTGGGGGTGCATCTTTTTTAAAAAAATATTTTGATTGATTTCAAAGAGAAAGGGAGAAGGAAAGAGAGACAGAACATCAGTGATGAGAATCACACCCCACACTCGGGTTGAGCCCACAACGCAGGCATGTGCCCTGACTGGGAATCGAACTGTGACCTCCGGTTCATAGGTCGATGCTCAACCACTGAGCCACGCCGGCTGGACCATCTGTGCATCTGTTCCTTTAATGAAAACGACTGCAGGATTTCACCATTTAAAGTGGCATTTGCCGTGGTTTTGTGGTTAGCCTTACCATCTTTAATACTATTCTATCTATTTTTATAAGTTGTTATTAGAAATAGCCATTGCAGCCCTAGCCGGTTTGGCTCAATTGATAGAAAGTCGGCCCAGGTCCTATTCTGGTCAAGGGTATATACCTTGGTTGCAGATTCCCTGGCCCTGGTCGGGGTGCGTGCAGGAGGCAACCAATCAATTCGTCTCTCACATCGATGTATCTCTCTATCTTTTCCTCTCCCTTCCACTCTCCCTAAAAATCAATGGAAAAATATCCTCAGGTGAGGATTAACCAACCCCTCCCTCCCTCCAAAAAAGAAATAGCCATTGCATTTGATAAAACACCTTTTAAAAAAAAATTTTTTTTATTGATTGAGGAAAGGAGAGAGAGAGATAGAAACATCAATGATGAGAAAGAATCATTGATTGGCTGCCTCCTGCACGTCCCCTACTGGGGGGGATCGAGCCTGCAATCCGGGCACAGTGAATCAAACTTGGGACCCTTTAGTCTGCAGGCCAACGCTCTATCCAGCTCTATCCACTGAGCCAAAATGGCTACGGCGATAAAACACCTTTTTGACATTTTTTTTGAAAAACCATAGGCTGCCTTTTTAATTTCTAGATATAATGAATTACCTTGGCGATTTGTACGTATTGAGCCATTCTTCCACCCTAAGCCCTGCTTGCCTATAGTCTTCTTTTGGTAACTGATCATGATGTTTTGGAATATTTGAATTTTATTCATGAGGTTTCATTTTCACAATCCACACAGACCCACACGACTATCTCTAAGGCCTCTTTCTGTCCCCTCCCAGCCACCCATGTTTTAACTGAGAGAGAGAGAGAGAGAGAGAATACCAGCTTGTCCCACTTACGCATTCATTGGTTGTTTCTTGGATGTGCCTGACCAAGGGATGGCACCCGCAACCTTTTTGTATCAGGGATGCCGTTCTAAACAACTGAGCTACTTGGCCAGGGCCTGTACTGACTTCTAATTGCAGAGCTTAACTTCCGTTCCCTTTTCATTTCTTAGAGTTGGAATAACCCATTTTTTTCTTTCACTCAAAATAATATATGTGAGATACATGTATATCGCTGCCTTTTTTTGTAGCTGTGTTGAATGTGATACATTGATTTACAAATAAGTCAATAATTATATTGATATTTATTTATACTGATACCAGAGGCCCAGTGCATGGAATTTGCGCATAGGTAGGGTCCCTGGGCCTGGCCAGTGATCAGGGCCGATTGAGGCCTTCTGAATGCTGACTGGGGCCTGCCTTCCAGCTGCCAACCAGGGCCTCCCTTTCCTGGCTGCCAGCTGCCAGCCAGGGCCTGCCTTCATTCTGCGCCTCCCCCTGGTGGTCAGCGCATGTCATAGCGAGCGGTTGAACTCCCAGTCTCCGGGTCAAACTCCCGAGGGGACACTTTGTATATTAGCCTTTTATATCTATTGATTAATATGCAGTTGATTTATTTATTTTTCTGTTGATGGGCATAAACAGTTAGACCTCTTAAGTATATTCATCAGTGTGGATTATGTTGCCTTCAAGATACGGACAATTTCCCCAAGTGGTCCATATTAAAAATATATACATTTTCATGGATTACAGAGAGGAAGTAAGGGGGAGAGAGAGAGATAGAAACATCAATGATGCCAAAGAATCATTGACTGGCTGCCTCCTGCACACACCACACAGGGGGTTGAGCCTGCAACCTGGGCACGTGCCCTAACCAGGAATCGAACCATGACCTCCTGATTCATAGGTTGACGTTCAACCACTGAGCCATGCCGGCTGGGCCATATTTTTTATTTTAGCCATTCTTGTGGATCTGGATACTATTTCTAATGACTGGATAGCATACAAGTGTTCTGTTGATGAATTTAAGCAACATCTTGTTGATAAGCATTTGGATTGTTTTCAGTTTTTAGTCTTCTAAATAATATAGTGATGAACATTCTGGAATACGCTTCTTCATGCATTTGTAACTGACCCCCTAGCAATCACCTTTTTGGTTATTTCCAGTTGTTTTTGTTTTACAAAATAACACCAGAATACGCTTTCTTGTGCATTCATCTTTGTGGACTTAAAAGTTTTGGGTTTTCTTGACATTTTAATTTTTGCTTTTAGCATCTCTCATGTTGGTCTTGAGCACAGAGCCAGCCCAGGGCAGTGTTGTTGCATGTTGCATGGGATGAAGGGCTGAAGGCTGCTTACTATTGCAAGCTGGCTTCTGAGATTGCACCTTCTCTTCCTGCTCCTCCTCCAACTCTATGACCCCCTAAGGTATGAAGGTGGCTGGGCGAGGGTCTGACTGGTCCAACCAGAAAGGGGGGGCGGGGACTTCAGCTAGACAGGCTCCAGGTTGTGCACCAGGATTGCTTGACAGCCTCCCAACCCTCTCTGCACCAAGGTACTTCTGAAAACCACAGTCATTTCCTCATTCTTCTTCCACCTGCCATTAATCTATCCATCATCTGTCAATCATGCACCATCCATTCACGGATCCATTCATCAGTCCACCAATACCTTCAGCTCTCTCCATTTGTACACTCATTATCTACTCAGATTTTACCTATCCATCCACAAATGCATACCTCTATCTTTCCATCCATTCCTCACTCCATCTACCACCCATCTATCCCTCCATCCCTCCATCCATCCAAATATCTATCCATCTACCTACCCATCCATCCACCAGACACCCATTTACCCACTCACCTACCCATCTATTCATCCATCCATATACTCATCCTCCTACCTAGCCATATACCCCTCCATCCATGTGTCCATTTCTTTAAATAAAATTTTTTTTTTCAAATTGATTTCAAAGAAGAAGGCAGAAGGAGAGAAGGATAGAAACATCAATGATGAGCGAGAATCTTTGACTGGCTGCCTCCTGCACACCCCCTACTGGGAATCAAGCCCGAAACCCGGGCATGTGCCCTTGACCGGAATCAAACCCAGGACCCTTCAGTCCGAAGGCCGACGCTCTATTCACTGAGCTGAACTGGCGAGGGTGTCCATTTTTTTTGGTATTGATCCGTTCATAAATCCATCAACTTCATTTACGCATCCATTCTCATCCATTCTTTCATCCAACCTTTCATCCAGCCCCCCAACCGATCTACCATTCATTCACCCACAGATTTACCTATTCAGTATTAAGTCATGCATTCATCTATCCATTCGACTTTCAATCCAGTCACCCACTCATTTATTAGTCAAGTTAGTCACTCACCCAACACCTACCCATTCATATCCTGAAACCAGACTCTATGACTGAGATGGGGACACAGAAGTGACTCAGACCTGTTTCTTGCCCTCTAGGAATTGATAGTCATTTGTGAGAGGGAAATAACAATCACACACACACACACACACACACACACAGGAAGTTCCCAAAATAGTGTGTGATCAGTGCTGTACTCACAGTATGTGCCAGATACAGGTGGCCAGGAGGCCAGGATAGAGAGGGCTGCAATGGGCAGAAGAAAGATTACAAGGTACCAGGTACAGGATCTAGGTCCCAGGGCAAGTACTTGCTCCAGCCAGGACCCCTCTTGTCTGCACAACTCCTCCCTCTGACTACCTCCCTGCCACCCCACAGGCAGAGTTGATCCACCTGGGAACCAAGACAATGCCACAAGCAACACAGTTACAGTTTTCACCTAGTGGGCAGAGCTCTGACCAGCCCACCCCCAATTACCAAGACAAGGCAGGGACACCTGCATCCAGGGAGACCCTCCTGCAACAGCCTGACAAGGGCAAGATTCCACGCCTCCGGCAGGTGGTCGAAAGCAAGGCCTTCAGGAACATCCTGGTGGACGAGATGGACATGATGCAGTCTCGCGCAGCCACCCTCATCCAAGCCAACTGGAGGGGCCACCAGCTCCGGCAGAAGCTGATCACCCAGATGTTGACGGCGAAAGGCGTCCAGGCGGCCTGGCGGCGCTTCAAAACCAGGCGCCGCCTCGGGGCGGAGAAAAAAACGCGTGTGGACGAGGAGAACATCCCTTACCACCCCCCTCAGCAGGTGCGGTTCCACCCTTCAGAAGAAGACAGGTATCTTCCGGCCCCACCTGTCATGGTGAATAAGGAGACCCAGTTCCCTTCTGACGACAGCTTGGCTGCCTGTGCCCACGAGCTGGCCCTGCTGCAGCCCTCAGGTGTCCCACCGCCCGGCATGCCAGCTCCTTGTGCCACCGGAGGCCCTAGCATCACTTTCGTGCCACACCAGACTGTTTCCATCAGACTTCCGTGTCCAGTGAGTCTGAGTGCCAAGTACCACCCATGTCTGCTAACAAGAACCATCAGAAGCACCAGCCTTCTCCACTTAGAAGGGGACATGACGAACACCAAGCCAGCGACTGCCAGAGCCAGCAAGGCAGGAGCCCTAGGGCCACCATGTGGAAGGATTGCCCAGACACTTCATGGCCCCCCCAAGGCCCAGACCCAGGCCCAAGTGGAAGCAGAGGTCCTCAGAGCCCCACCCCAGACAGGCCCACCGTCTGTGATGACCAAGACTCCACTCAAGTCGTGCTTGGCATCCATGATGAACAAATCCATACCCCAGCCAAGCCCAACACCCACGGTAACAACAGCCAAGACCCCACCCCAGCTGGACTCAGCAGTCCCCGTGGCCAAGACCACACTCCAGTCGTGCCTGGCAGCAATCTTGAACAAGATCCCACCCCAGCCATGCCCGATACCCACAATGGTAACGAGCACCCCACCCCAGCCGTGCCTGGCAGCCCCAGTGACCAAGACCCCAGCTCAGATGCGACCAACAGTCTTGGTGACCAGCACTGCACCCCAGACACAACCGGCTGCCATGACCTCAATTTTCAAGCCCCCGACACAGACCTGCCCAATTCCTGTGACGACCAAGACCCTGCCCCAGGTCCACCCCACAGCCACGATGTCCAAGTCCCTACTGCACACATGTCCAGTGGCTACGACAGCCAAGACCCCATCTCAGATGCTCCCAGGAGCCTCAACAACCAAGACCCCTACCCAGACACGTATGGCAGCCATGATCACCAAGACGCCAGCCCAGTTACGCTCAGTGGCCACGGTCCTCAGGAGCCTGTGCCTGCCTCCTCCTGCAGATGGAAATCCGAAGGCTTCACCTCCAGCAGCTGTGGAGGACGGGATTCCCAATGCCTCGTCACAAACAAACCTAAACAGACCAAGCGCCAAGGCTGTGGTGAGCGGGAGCCAGGTGGCAGGCACGGTCAAAGTCTCGTCCCATTCACACTTGACGGAGGGAAAGGTGAAATGCTGGCCCCCAGCGCATCTGGGGGCTGGGGCTCCCAAGGCTCCAGCGAGGCCTTTTTCAGAAGCCGAGAAAATCAGGGCCTTCTCCCAGAAACAGGTGAGAATAGCAACCATGTCTAACACCAGCGTGGCCGAAGACAGGAGCAAGGTCTTGTCGAAGGCCCGCCTGAAAACAGATGTCATGAAGCTTCAGTCCCAGGTGGGTGTGCCTGTAGAAATGGCTGTGGTTCTGCCCCAAGCTCACCTGGGCACATGCCCAGCCAAGCCCCTGCCTCGAGCACAGAAGGCCACCTGTTCAACCACAGCCTCGCCCCAGAGACATATGCTTGCAAAGCAGACGAGAGCCCCGCCCCAGGCAAATATCGTCCGGTGTCTGTCCAAGCCCCCATCCCAGGCACACCCACCTGCCAAGCTAACCACGGCCCCATCCCTGGCCCATCCGGGCACGTGTCCGACCAAGACGCAGTCCCAGGCACATCTGACCACAGAAGTGATAAAGGTCCAATCTCAAGCACATCTGCCTGCGAGGCTGACCAAGGCACAGTCCCAAGCCCAGCTGGTCAGAGAAACAGCCAAGTGCCTCTATGCTGCCCACCAGGCCACTGAGCTCAGTAGCAAGGCTCGGTCCCAGCCACTCCTGGCTGGGTTCAAGGCCTCCACCCAGCCCCATCAACACGCCGGCTCTCTTGGCACTTTGTCCCGAGCAAAGCCAGAGGACAGACTAACCCAACTCCCAGCCCATAGCTGTGCCCAGAGCAAAGCTACCAAGGGCCCATGCCAGGGGGCCTCCAAGACCCCGAGCATGCTGGTGCCTCTGCTGGCGTCCACTGGACCTTCCACATGCAACGTCGAATCCTGGGGTGACAGCCGGGCCACCCTGGCCCCGCCATCGGCCACAAGCCCAGCCGCGCCCTGCCAGGAGGAGCTGGGGGCCGCCCAGCTGGCCTCGCTGTGTGCTGAGTTGGCCACTGTGCTGGGCTCCCAGGAGGACATCCGTGCTCTGCTGGAGAAAGCTCTCCCCCAGGGGGAAGTGAGGGCGGCACTGAACCAGGCCCTGTCCAAAGAGATCCTAGGCACCACGATGGCCAAGGCCCTGCCCCAGGGCATGCTGGGCACAGCACTGGTGAAGGCTCTGTCCTGGGGCGAGCTGGGCACTGCACTGTCCTGTGCCCTTTCCCGGGGTGAGCTGCAGGCAGAACTCACGAAGGCCATACAGGGCAGACTGGTGGATGTGCTCTGCAAGGTCCTGACAGAGGAAGACCGGGCTGCCCTGAGCCAGGCCGTGTGTCAGGGTGAGCTGGGCACCGTCCTGAGCCAGTCCTTGTCTCAGGCGGCCCTCCTGACTGGACTCGTCCTCCCTAAGGCCACCTCGAAAACATTGGGAAGTGGGATGATGGTGACGCCGGTCCCAGTGGAGGTGGACTCCAGGGAGAGCCGGTCAACTGCACGGGGGCCCACCATGGGCTGTGTGAGACCACAGCTCAGCAAGGTCAGGGTTCCCCAGGGTGGGGCCTGGGAGGGCGTTGTCACAGGCGGGCCAGCGGGCTATTGGAGGAGATGGGGGATGGGCCCGTGGTCAGGAGGTCACCCTGTTTGTCCAGGGCCTATGTGGGTGCCTCCTCAGTCACCGGGTTGATTACCTCCGTTCTCCATTTTCCCCTGATCGCTGTTTTGGACCCCACTCTGTCGTGGGATAAGGGTGACTCCTCCGTACACCCAGGGGTGGGCGAATCGGCATCAGATCTCCGCTCAGGGTGAGTGACGCAGGCCCCGCTTTGCCTGAGCCGCTCCCCTGCAGCCACCCCGCCATCTGTGACAGCTGCTCATTGCCAATGGTGTGGCCCCAAGCTCCCACAAACCACATGCGGCCAGCAGGATGGCCCCATATCTATCAGCATCACTGGGGGAGGACAGGGTGGCCCCAGGCAAGCTTGCCAGCACTGTGGTGGTGAGAAAACCATCCACTCCCACCAGTTTGTCACCACCTATGGGGGAGGGGGTCTGCTTATTGGTGTCAGCCCTCCGGGGTCACCTGGGGGGACCCCTGAGGTGTATCAGCCATCAGCGGCCAAAAGTCTGCAACAACCATTCATGGTCCCTGTGGAGACCATGCAGAGGACTCAGCCCCAAGTCATACACAGGTCTCTGTGGGCCCAAGTGAGATGACCAACAAGATGGCCTCAGGTCTCCTGAGGACCACCACAGTGAGTTCCCCAACTCAACAACAGACCCCCAAGGCACCCAAACACAACAGAGCATTCTGCTGCCTGGATCCATGGCTCCTGGTCGTCTCTGGGCATTCAAAAGTCAGGAGACTCTAGTCTGTTGGAAGCCTCCCCAGAAAGCCAGTTAATGCCCACCCTTCCCCACACATCCATTCGAGAAGAATTGAACACGGGTATCATTTCTGGCACGTGCTGCCTCAAGGGTGGGGCCTGGCTTCTCTCAGGCTGCTCTCAGTGCCCAACAGGCTGGGTCTGAGTCCATCCAAATTTTCCCTGGCCAATGTGGGCTCCAGCATATCTCAGGTCAAGGTTGATCAATGGAGACCACCAGTGTCTTATGTCCACGGTCACCACATCCAGTTACCAACAATCAAATGCTTTCAGCCAGGAGCCTGTAATGGGCATGGCCAGTCTTCTGGGGCCAGGTTCTGTAGCCAATAAGATGACCACAGCTGGGGCCCCAGGTACTGTGGTTCGTGGCAAGGCCTCCAGCTTTCCCACAGGGTCTGAGATCAATTGTGTGGCCCCCAGCCTTCCACGAGGTTATACGGTCAATTGTGTGGCCCAGACCCTTCACCCAAGATCTGTGATCAGTGGCCTGGGCCAGGACCTTCCTCCAGACCCCATGGCCAGGGCTGTGGTCCACAGCCTTCCTCCAGGTTCTGTCATCAGTGGTGTGGCCCACAGCTTTCCTCCAGTTTTTGTGGCCAGTGATGTGGCCAGGACCCTAGCTCCAGGTTCTGTGGTGAGTGGGGTGCCCCCCAGACTGATTACAGCACCTGGTGCAGGTGGGAAAAGGCAAAGTCTCTTTGTAAGACCCTGTACTGGTAACCTCTCCAATACTGCCCCAGGTTCAGGGGTGAGTGGGGTGGGCCTAAGTGTCTCTTTTGGTTTTGTGGCCTCTAGGGTGGTCGCAGAACTTATGACTGGGGGACTGAGTCTGAGCCGGTCTAAGATCCATGGCTAGTGTGGCTAGTCCACCCTCCACAGCCAGAAACATGACTCACAGCCTTCCCCAGGGGTCCAGAATCATTGGCCTCACCTCCTATCCTTACCATGGAGGGCTCTGGGGACGGGTCTGCTTCCCCCTTCCAGGCATGCCATGCCACTGCCCTGGCTCAAGCTCCTCCCCAGGCCTTAGAATCTAATGGCAGAGCCAGAGGAGTGCACCGAGTGCCCAGGGTAGCGAAGAGCCTCCCTGTTGAGCCACGTTCATGGGACAATAGCCTTTGAGACCAGAGATGGCCAGGCCATGATGAAGCCAGAGACCTGGACGAGGCTCTCTCCCAGGAGTCCTGTTCCAGCAGGGCAGCGATGGCGAACCTTTTGAGCTCGGCGTGTCAGCATTTTGGAAAACCCTAACTTAACTCTGGTGCCGTGTCACATATAGAAATGTTTTGATATTTGCAACCATAGTAAAACAAAGACTTATATTTTTGATATTTATTTTATATATTTAAATGCCATTTAACAAAGAAAAATCAACCAAAAAAATGAGTTCGCGTGTCACCTCTGACACGCGTGTCATAGGTTCGCCATCACTGCAGTAGGGAGTCCATGGTCCTTGAGGCAACCCCATGGATGTCTGAGAGTCCCCTGTCACCTGATGACGACTACGACCATGACTTCTTGGCAGAGGACAAGACTCCAAAGGCCAAAGGCTGTCAGAGGAGGAGGCAGCTCCCGGCTGAGCCAAGTCTATGATGAGTGGCATCGCCCCCGTCCTTCCCCAGCCTCCAGGTTTTGCACACCAGGGCCAGCAGTGTCACCCGAACTCTGCAGCAGAGGACAGACACCAGTTGGAGGGCCCCTAGTTCCCACTTTGTGAAGTCTCATGGGGTCCCCAGTGTGCAAATGAACACAGGGCCCCTGAGCTCATAGGCATCAGTGGCTCACGTTGTCCCCCAGAGCCTCTTGGCTGCTCACATGCCCGGGAGTCATTCCCATGGGATGGTGGCTTCTACAGTAATATCAGGGTCACCCGAGCTGGCCCATGACAGGACTGTGGCATCTAGTTTGCTCCTGAGGTCTGCGTCTGGGATGGGGGGGTCCCAAACACTTCCCAGAGGTCAGGGACCACCTGTGTGGCCTCACGTGTGCTGCCGTATAGTGTAAGGCCAGCGGGGCGGCATCCAGTGGGTTCCAGTGCATTTTGGAAGCCAGTGTCTGGGAACCTGGCTCAGAGCAGCCACCATGACCTTCTTGGCCCTAGAGCAGCGGTTCTCAACCTGTGGGTCTTGACCCCCTTGGCGATCAAACGACCCTTTCACAGGGTCGTTTGCCTAAGACCATCCTGCATATCAGATATTTACATTACGATTCATAACAGTAGCAACATTACAGTTATGAAGTAGCAACGAAAATAATTCTATGGTTGGGTCACAACATGAGGAACTGTATTTAAAGGGCCAGAAGGTTGGGAACCACTGCCCTAGAGAATCCTACACATCCTTGCATAGTAGCTCTGCCTCCGGAAGGCTAGATGGTTCCGTGGCCAAGACTGAGCCCTCCCGGTAGGTGGCGGAGCACACCTCCAGGTCCGCTCAGGAAGGCCCCAAAGGCTCCATGGGCGCGCTGCCGTAACGCCAAGATCCCTACGGCCATCTGGTGCACGACATGGCCATCCCTAGGCTGCACGATGAGGTTCAGAGGGGGTTTCTGGGTTATGAATCTTCACCAAGTGGTTCCTGGCAGCCCCCTTTTAACTGGGAGTCGCTACGGGGACCTCGGGATCTGCATAGCACCATGGCTCCTGTGGACACTCACAGGGCACCACTGACTTCTGCTTTTCTCCAGGGCCCCGTGGACGCTGGTGTGGCTGGTGGCCAAACGTGGAATTCCGCCATCCCCGGTGCTGCCATTGGGCCCATGGAGGGGGCCAAGACCCCCTGTGGTGCATGGAAACCAGCCAGGTGCGATGTGCCCTGGGCTGCCATGGTCAGGGAGGCGCTGGTGGATCCCAGACAATGTGGGGAGCTGGTGACGTCAGTTCAGACTGTGGAGAAGATAATAGTGCAAGCCGTGGTCGTCATACAGGCGTGTGCGCGTGGCTACCTGGTGCGCCGGACCATCAAGGTGTGGCACCGGTGGGCTGTCGTCATCCAGGCTGCCTGGCGTGGCTACTGCGTGCGGCGGAACCTGGCCCAGCTCCTCAAAGCTGCCACGGTCATCCAGGCCACATGGCGAGGCTACAGCATCCGCCGGAACCGGAACCGAGCCCAGCAAGTGCTGCTCCCCCGCACGTGGGCTGAGGCGAGTGGCAGGACCACGTCCACCTCCGACCACCGCTGCTTCCAGGCCTGCCAGCCGGGCGACTGCACCCTCTGCCAGTCGCTGAGGCCCCGGCTGGGGACCCCACCCAGCGCCGTGATGCTCATGGGTTCCAGCCCCCGCACGTGCCACATGTGTGGCCACACCCAGCCCACGAGGGTGGTGCAGGGCATGGGCCGGGGCACCACGGGCCAGGCGGTCAGGCTGTGGGACCAAGACACCCAGCCTAGCCCCCAGGGACCCCAGCAGCCCCGTGGCCAGAATAAGGCGGCCACGGTCATCCAGTCCATCTGGAGGGGCGTCCAGGTACGCCGCCGGCTGATGGAGAAGCAGGCAGCGGCCAAGAGGCTGCAATCCAACTGGCGTGGCCACTACACCCGGTCCTCCCTCACCACGGATGCGCTTTTGAGGCCAGCAGCGTGGGACAACCCACAGAACACGCAGTGGCCAGGCGTCTAGGACCTGGACCGCCCAACGGGGGACATCAGGGGCGGTGCCATGTGGCTCTCTCGGTCTAATGAGTAAAGTTCTCCACAGCTGGGTCTTGGTCTCTCTGTGCTCATAGCGGGTCTCTTGGGCCTGGGCATGGGGGGCGTGAGGGGAATCTGGAACACTCTGGACTGGGGGGACCCTAAAACTTTCAACCGCTTAGTTGGCACCCAGGGCCTGTGTCTGGGAGAGGGACCCAAGCCCTTCTCGGAGGTCAGGGGCCTCCCTATGGCCGTAGGACCTGTCCATGACTAGTGGGGCAGTGTCCGTCGGGTCCCCCTGGAAGGCGTCCCTGACACACTCCAGAAGCCAGTGTCTGGCCTAGAGAACCCCACGGTGGATGCATGGGGCCTAATTCAGGAAACGCGAGGGCTTTCCGGCCAGGTACTCAGTGGGTGGGATGCTGGGCGCACCCGCAAGGGGCTCCAGTCTGGGTGAGAGAGGGCTGAGCACAGATGTTCCTAGCCTGTGGGTGTCAGGGACAGGGCAGGGAGCGGGGAGGGGCTACAAGCACCCAGAGGGGGCAGCCTGCTTGGCGGAGTGGCAAAGGGGAAGGTAGCATGGGTTCAGGCAGCTATGGAAGGGGCCACAGAGTGGGTGGGGGCTGCTGCGGGGAGGGGACTGAAAGCAGCAAGGGGGTCCTGAAGGGATAGGCAGAATTTGAGGGCTTCTCGGTCATGGTTCAGGTGGGACTTTTAGGCGAGGTGGGCGTCCAGGTGGAGAGGGGGGCAGGTATGGCAACCCTGGGAAACGGTAGCACCCATAGGCCCTGTGTCCTACAGCCAACCTCCACCTCTCCCCTGGGCAGGTGTAGACACAGCCGCCTGGCCACGCCCCTGGCCCCACATCAAACCTGTGCAGAGCCCGTCCGGCACCCTCCTCACGCAGGAATGGCAGGCTCCCAGCTGCCGCTGCCCTTCTGCTGCCGCAAACTGATGTGAATTTCTCTGCTTCTGCGGACACCCCTACAGGTGAGAGCAGGGCAGGGAGAAGGTGGGGCTCTCGATAGCTGGAGGGGGCCGTCCTGCCCAGCCAGACTCCTGGTGTCTGGGACCTTTCCTCAGGCCAGGCTGGTCTGCCAGGCCCCCGCCCGCAGAAGGGCTGCTCCCCCCAGAAGCAAGGTGGGGGGTCATGAGAACAGCTGCACCCCACCCCTCCACCGCCCCCACTCCAGCCCTGAGGATGCCACTTCTGCAGCCCCAGACTGACCTGAGCCAGTGAGAAGCTGTGGCTGCCTCATACCCAGTTTGAGGTTCCATGTTCAACCTGTTCCCATCAGCCAGCCTGCAAGGGAAGGGGGGCCCAGGGCCATGGGAAGGGGACACGGGCTCATTTCCTGGTCCCTAAGCCCCTGTGGCTCCCAGAAGCTCCTGGTGCCTGGTTGCCTTCTGCTCCCTGCAGGACTGTTCCCAGGGTAAAGAACTGAACTTCTTAGTGAGATTTATTTTACAGTTGACATACAATATTATATTAGTTTCAGGCGTGCAGCAGTGATTCAATAAGGGCTGAACTCTTGCACTGCCTCCCCTCCCACAAAACCATCACTCTCTCTGACCCGTGTACCTGCCCCAAACCTGTGATATCAGAGTGGAGGCCGCCACGCGTATGACGCGTTCTGCAGGCAAGGGCTTCCCTCGGAAAACACCATATTTATCCCCATTTTATAGCTCAGGGAATCGGGGCTTATGCTAGTCTCCCAGCCTGTGCCAGAGCTGGATTAGAACCGGCTGACTTGGCCCCGGCCAGCCTCCTGGTCTAGGGGTTTCTGGGCAAAGCAGACTCATGGCACAGTCCATAGAAATAGCTCCAAGCCCTGGCTGGTAGCTCAGTTGGTTAGAGTGTAGTCCCCATATGCCAAGGCTGTGTGTTCGATCCCCGGTCAGGGCACATACAAGAAGCAACCAGTGAATGTATAAATGAGTTGAACAACAAATTCTCTCTCTCTCTCTCTCTCTCTCTCTCTCTCTCTCTCTCTCTCTCTCTCTCTCCCCCTCCCTCATCAATAAAAAACAAACAAACTTAGCCGAAACCGGTTTGGCTCAGTGGATAGAGCGTCGGCTTGTGGACTGAAAGGTCCCGGGCTCGATCCCGGTCAAGGGCATGTACCTGGGTTGCGGGCACGTCCCCAGTGGGGAGTGTGCAGGAGGCGGCTGATCGATGTTTCTCTCTCATCGATGTTTCTAACTCTCTATCCCTCTCCCTTCCTCTCTGTAAAAAATCAATAAAATATATTTTAAAAAAATAAAATAAAATAAAAAATAACAAACAAACTTCATAAAAATAGAAATAAAAATAAACCCACTTTATCTCTGACCAGCTCTCCAGTAGCTCATGAGCTCCTGCCTGCTCTGTGCCAGGCCCTCAGCAGAGCTTGTGTCCTCACTACCTCCTCTTTCAAGAATCACTAGTTTTCCTCAATTCACTTTAAAAATTTTTTTAAATATGTTTTTATTGATTTCAGAGAGAGGAAGGAAGAGGGAGAGAGAGATAGAAACATCCATGATGAGAGAGAATCATCAATCGGCTGCCTCCTGCCTGCCCGCTCCTGGGGACTGAGCCGGCAACCCCAGGCATGTGCCCTGACCAGGAATGGAACTGTGACCTCCCGGTTCATAGGTCAATACTCAACCACTGAGCCACACTGGCTGGGCTTCCTCAGTTCACTTTAAAAGTTCAGCTCCCCAGAGTCCTGGCTTGGCTTCAAGTCCACGGTGGCCCCTGAGTCACCCTCATTTCAGCAAAACTTCTCATCATCTGGATTCTAACTCAAATGAGGTGAGAGGCAGTTTGGGAAGGCTGGCCTTTTAGTCCTTGACTCCTTGGAGGTCCTTGAGGGGCCCTCTTCCCACCTTCCTAGTTCCCTTAGGCCTCAGTTTCCCATCTGTAAAATGGGGATAAAGTCAGGCCCAGGCACAATGCCTCTCCTAGGCTCAGCTGTCATCCCCACAGGGCCTGGGAGACTGGACAGAGCAAAGTGGGTCTGCGTGTGGACCCAGACCCCTCTTGAGCCTAGTGCTGGAGGTTATTTCCACATTTCTGCCATCTGGGAGGTAAGAGAGGAAGCACGAAGATCCACTCAGGGCCGCGTGGACAGGGCCGATGAATGAACTCGCAAGCAGCTAAAGTGCCCAGCAGCCTGGAACTGGGAAGGAAGTAACTGTAGGAGGTGGCCCATGAAATATTTACCCACCCTCAGCCTGGCCCCAGGGCCCCGTGCTGGGAGGGCCAGGAGCCAGGGAGCAGCTGGAACAAGGTTGGGGCAGAGTTTTTCAGAGCTTTGATCCCCTGACTACTCCCTGCGCCCAGGCCTCTACCCCCCCTCCCCATTAGAACTCTGAGTTTGTCCTGACCAGAGTTGAGCACTGACCTATAAACCAGGGATCAGGGTTCAATTCCCGGTCAGGGCACATGCCCAGGTTGTGAGCTCGATCCCCAGTGTGGGGCGTGCAGGAGGGAGCCGCTCAATGATTCTCTCTCGTTGTTATTCTCTCTCTCTCTCTCTCTCTCTGAAATCAATAAAAATATATTTAAATCAAACAACAAAAAGCTCTGCGTTTGGCCATGAGGACCTTCCAGGCACCTGCAGAAGATTAGGGCTGATCCTCTCTGGGGAGCTCCGAGGGGGCCTGTGCACCCACATGCGCAGGCCTGTGTAGCTCTCAGAGCTGCTGGCTGCCAGAGATGGGTCCAGACAGAGAGCTCCGTAAGGCACCGCCTTTCCCACTGAGCACTCAGGTGGTGGGCGAACTCCCCCAGGCCCCCTGGGCGCAGGCTTACTCTCTGAGGGAAGAGGGAAGAGGCATCCAGAGAGGGCGGCCCGGTTCCCCCACCCTTGCCCCTCATCGTCCTCTCCCTGTGCCCTCTGGTGTTTGCTTTCCGATGTTGGGAGGGAGCTGAGACCTCAACTTCCAAACCCTGCTCCCCTTTTCCCTCCAGCTGCAGCTCTCCTAGTTCAGTGGAACCCGCCACCACTCACTCCAGCCCCCTCGCCCCACCCCACCCCTAGTTCAGGGGCAGACTCCCTGACCCGCCCCCCAGCCCCTTAAATTCAGAGGTAACCCCCACCATCCAGTCCAGCTCCAGCTCCACAAATTTAGGGTGTGTGCCCACCGCCCCACAACCAGAGACAATCCCCCACCCCGATTCTGGCTCTCCAGCTCAGAGCTCACCCCCACCTCCCACTCCTGCCACCCGAGTTCCACCTCCTTGACCCTGCACTCGAGCCCCACTTCCGGTGCCCTTGGCCACAGCTGACTGTACCTCTGTGGCTCTGTGCTTCTGGGCAGTTTGGGGCGGGGGGAGGGGGGGGGGGGGTGGTGGACTGGCTGAGGTTACCAGGCTGCAGTTCTGGGATCAGCCTCCAGGGAGAGACACAGACCTGAGAATGTGCTGGAAAGGGCCGCACCCCTCCCCTCCACTCCCCGTATTGCTGAAAGCTCTGAGGCCTTCTTCATTTCAGCACATTTATTAAGTGCCTAGTGTATGTCACAAACACTAGGGGACACAGCTGTGTTGGAAGACGGGTTATAAGTAAATTCCATATTTGTTTATCAAGTAACAAAATAGAACAGAATAAAGGGTTGGAATATGAGTACAAATGGTTTAAATTTTTTAAAAAGTGGCCAGTAAAGTTCTCAATTTGAAAAGTTGAGGGAGGAGCCACAAAGTTATCGAGGAGGAGAGCAGCCTAGGTAGCAGGCACAGCCTGTGCAAAGGTCCTGAGGTAGGACTGTGCCTGGTGCATTTGAGGAAGAGTGAGGTGGCCGGAACTGTGAGTAGGGTACTAGTGGGGAGGCCGTGAGGGTGGGAATATTGTACCGTGCGACCATCCAGGACCCCAGGGGTTCAACAGAGGACAAGAATTTGTAGAGGCATCCAGAGAAATTTGTTACTCAAACTACCATGTTGTCTCCGGAATGTTCAGAGAAGAGTGCAAGCACAAAGTGTGAGGGGCTTTTGCTTAAAGTCACAGGATAGAAGCCACCTTCTCAGAGTGTCCCATTTCATAGGATCACCGGAAGGCCGCAGCGTTTGTAAACCGAGTTCTAGATTTTTCTCACTTTGTAAGAACTCCTGAGTGGCCAATGAGAGCAGTGGAAACTGCTGAGCTGAGGCAGCAAACGGAATGAATTCCTCATAGACAGATAAGTTTACAAGCAAAAGGATGAGAAGGCACTGTAACAAGTTAGAGCAGCGACCAGAGAGGGAAGTGAGCGCGCTTCTGGGAAGGGGTTTAAAGGTTCTGGGCCCCTGAGGGTATCGCAGCCTGGGGAGGGTGGGGTCCAGGGCTGACTCAGGGCTCCTCCCCTCAGCTCCAGGTGACACGGGGGCCTGAGTTGCACAGGAACCCAGGGGGTGGGAGTGACCGTGTATCTGTTGGTGTCCTTTTTGCTCAGTGGGTCTGTGGTAATGGCCGTGAGGTGCTGCCACCAGGGTGAGCCTGAGTCCCAGAAGCCAGATGAGATGTCCGTGGTGAGATGGGGGCTGGGCTGGGGGGCCGCCATCCCAAGCAGACCAAGTCCCTGGTGCCCGAACACTCCCTTGTGTGTGTTCTTTTTCCAGGGAGCCATGGGCCAACGGTCATCCTTGCCCATCGCCCACCAGAGCGATCCCTGTAGGGTGGGGACTCAGGTGGGCCCAGGCACCTGGGGAGGGGCA